TGTTAGCAGAATAAAGGAAATAACAAATAGTAGAAATAAATGGGATAAAGATCAGAAAAGCAATAGAAAAATATCAATGAAACTAAAGCTGGGGTTTTTAAAGAATAAACAAAGTGATAAATCTTTACCTAGACTGGGGCGCCTGGGTGGCGCAGTCGGTTAAGCGTCCGACTTCAGCCAGGTCACGATCTCGCGCTCCGTGAGTTCGAGCCCCTCGTCAGGCTCTGGGCTGATGGCTCGGAGCCCGGAGCCTGTTTCCGATTCTGTGTCTCCCTCTCTCTCTGCCCCTCCCCCGTTCATGCTCTGTCTCTCTCTGTCCCAAAAATAATAAACGTTAAAAAAAAAAAAAATTAAAAAAAAAAAATCTTTACCTAGACTAAAAAAAAAAGAGAGGAGGGGTGCCTTGGTGGCTCAGTCGGTTGAGTGACTTCCGCTCAGGTCATGATCTCGCAGTCTGTGAGTTCGACTTCCGCTCAGGTCATGATCTTGCAGTCTGTGAGTTCGAGTCCCGCGTTGGGCTCTGTGCTGACAGCTCAGAGCCTGGAGCCTGTTTCAGCGTCTCCCTCTCTCTCTGCCCCTCCCCCGCTCATGCTCTGTCTCTCTCTCTCTCTGTGTCAAAAATAAAAAATAAACATAAAAAAATTACAGAAATTCTATGAAATTATTTTTTAAAAAAAGAGAAGGAGGAATAATCTTATAACCTTAACCCTTAACCTCATTTTATGATCCCAACATTATGCTGATACCAAAGAGTGATAAGAACACTACATGAAAATTATATACCAATGTCCCTGATGAATACAGACGCAAAAATTCATAATAAAATATCAGCAAGTCAAAATCATTAAGGGATCATCTACCATGACTAAATGAATATTGTCCCTACAAGGACAGTTCAACATACACAAAGCCACAAATATGATGCACCACGTTAATATAAGATAAAAAGCATATCATCTCAAAGATGGAGAAAAAGCGTTTGAAAAAATACAACATCCTTTTTTAAATAGTCAACACTTTGGGTATAGAAGGAACTGACCTAAACATAATAAAGCCAGAAATGAGACATCCACACTTAACATCAGTCAACAATGGAAGGTTAAAATCATTTCCAAGATCAAGAGCAAGACAAGAGTGTCCATTCTCACCATGCTTATGCAACATAGTAGTGGAAGCCCTAGTTAGAATAATTAGGCAAGATAAAGAGGTAAAAGGCATCTAAATCAGAAAGGAAGAAAGAAAACTGTCATTATTGCAGATGATATATTCTTATATCTAGAAAGTCCTAAAGACTCAACCAAAAATCTATTGGAACTAATCAAGAAATTCAGTAAACTTGCAGTACTTAGAATCAACATACAGAAAGCAGTTGCATTTCTATACACTAACAATGAAACACCTGAAAAAGAAGTAAAAAATATTATACCATTCACAGTAACATTAAAAACAATAAAATGCTTAGGAATAAATTTAACCAAGGAAGTAAAAGATCTGTACTATTAAAACTAAAATACATTGAAGAAATTAGAGAACACACCAAAAAAATGGAAACATATCCCATGTTCATGAACGAAAATTAATATTCTTCAAATGTCCATACTACCCAAAGTCATCAATAGATTGAAGAAAATCTCCATCAAAATTACAATGACATTTTTTACCAAAATAGAAAAAACAATACTAAAATTTGTGTGACACTTCAAAAGACCTAAGCCAAAGGAATCTTGAGAAAGAACAAAAGTGGAGGCATCACACTCCTGATTCCAAGCTATACTACAAAGCTATACTAAACACAAGTATGGGTCTGTCATTAAAATAGACACATAGCGGGGAGCCTGGGTGGGTCAGTCGGTTAAGCATTGGCCTTCGGGTCAGGTCATGATCTTGCAGTTTGTGAGTTCAAGCCCCATATCTAGCTCTGTGCTGACAGCTCAGAGCCTGCAGCCTGCTTCGGATTCTGTGTCTCTCCCTCTCTCTGCCCCTCCCATGACCATGCTCTGTCTCTCAATAGTAAATAAACATTTTAAATATTAAAAAAAAATAGACACATAGGTCAGTAGAATAAAATAGAATTGAGAAATCAACTCCTACCTACCATGTCAACTACTATTTAACAAGGGAGCCAAGAATACTCAGTCGGGAAAGAACAGTCTCTTTAATAAATGGTTTTGTAAAACCTGGATTATCAAATGTGTAATAATAAAACTGGACCAATACCTTTTACCACTCACAAAAATTAACCCTAAATGGATTAAAGATAGGAATATAAGACCTGAAACCATAAAACTCCTAGAAGAAAAGATAGGGAACAAGGTCCTTGACACTGGTCTTGAAAACGATTTTTTAGATCTCACACCAAAAGCACAATCAACAAAAGCAAAAGTCAACAAGTGCAGCTACATCAAATTAAAAAGCCTCTGCACAGCAAGAGAACGATTAACAAAATCAAAAGGCAACTTATCTGTAAACCATATACTTAAAAATATTTACCAACCACGTATCTCAGATAGGGGTTAATATCCAATATATAAAAAGAACTCATACAACTCAAAAACAAAACAATCTGATTAAAAAATGTGTAGAGGAACCAAATAGATATTTTTCCTAGAAGACACCCAATTGGCCAACAGGTACATTAAACAAATATCCAACATCACTAATCATCAAGGAAATGCATATCCAAACCACAATGAAGTATCAGCTCACACCTGTTAAAATGACTATCATCATAACAAGAGATCATAAGTAGTGGTGATGATTTAGAGAAAAGGGAACACCTGTACACTGTTTGTGGAAAGGTAACTTGGTTTAGCCACTATTAAAAACAGTATGGATGTTCCTCAAAAGATTAAAGAACTACCATAGGATCCAGCAACCCCACTTCTGGGTATACACTCAACAGAAATAAAAACAGGATACCAAAAAGATAATCTCCACTCCCGTGTTTATTGCAGCATTATTCATAATAGGCAATATATGGAATGATAAAGAATTATAAAGAAGACATGGTGTTGACACACAGCACAGTGGAATATTACTCAACTACAACAGTGAAGGAAATCTTGCCATTTGAGACAACATGAATGGACCCCGATGGCATTATGCCAAGTGACATAAATCAGACAAGGACATAAACTGTATGATAGCACTAATATGCAGGATCAAAAAGCCAAACCCATTGAAACAGAGAGTCCAATGGTGGTTACCAAGACCTGGAGAGCAAGGAAATAGGAGAGATGTTTTTTGAAAGGGTACAACCTTGCAACTAAAAGATAAATAAATATGGAAATCTAATGCACAGCATAATGATTATGAGGTGCTCCTCCTACTGAAGCCCTCATGGTTCCTTAGGAAGACTTCACATACATTCTTACACATTTTTAAAGAACAATACTTCAAAGAGCATACCTAAGCTTACACGGTGGGGAAGGGGAGCACACATCTTTTATTCACACTGCACTACCTCCTTGGTATGGGGTAAGACCTCACATTCTCTCCCAGAGATTCAGTGGTTCCCCTTCTCTCAATTCCATCCATTTGTAAACTTGTGAAAAACTTGGCAAAGGCTTCAAATGCCTCTTCATTTATAATCTTTAATTAAAGAGAACAATGATGTGACTCATCAGAATTAAGACCCCCCCCCAAACAGCAATGAGAACCCAATGAATCTCCAAGGTTAATATGTCATTGTAATGACATATGTTTTATATCAGTTGGTTCAAGTCTGAGCAATCTGGCAAATCAGCAGCCAGTATTGTTACACATCTTGTTCCCTTTTCAAACAGATCACAAGAACCAAAAGCTTTATGTTCTACTTTACACAAAGAAAACTGGCCAAAGTTAAAAACCCTGCCTCTCCCACTATTATTTCTTCTCTGGCTCTTGAGGCTTCCTAGAGAATATCAGCATTAGAGTAACTCTAACCATCTACTCCATGCATTATATCACCCCATACAACACCATAAATCTCTAGGACATAAAATGTTTAACATAGAAAATAAAAAGAATATAGATCAGCTTTCCATATTTGTTCTTAGTCTGCAATATTTGTAATTCAGTAACTCTATTCCTACAATGAATTTTCACACAAGTCTCCTCACACCAAACATAAACAGATGCTTGAAATATCAGAAATGATTTGAGAGTGCGAAACACTGGCTATGTCAGACAAGGGTAAATTTTCCACATTTAATGGGAGAAAGAGGCTTGAGTCCCACAATATAAAAAACTGATATTGGCTATGACATGGATTTTGAACATCATCTCCCATCAGAAATCCCCACTGAAACTAGAAGCAAGAAACTAAACCATCAGACTCCTAAGAAATGGTAAGGAAGGGACCACATCCTTCATTCCAATCCTCTTTAGGATTCAAATCACCTTTTCCTTCAGAAGATTATAGCTGGTAGAGACTGGGATGTGACCAAATTTATGGGATGATTAGTTCTGAAAGAGGCCTTAGACAAACAGTAGCTATATCAGACTCTTCCCGGGAGACACAACCAGGCTAATCGTATAGCTTTATTTCTGTTCAAAGGCACATCCTCTCTCTCCGTTTATTCCCACTATGGCAGAAACACACAACAAACATCAATCACCATCATGTCTGGATTACGCCACATCAAAATATTTGGGACACAAGTTCTCCACATTCTTGGGGGCCTCTGTCAGATATCAGTCCTTTACAATCAGAGGTCTGAGACTGAGCAGGGCTCAATCTCCAAAGCAAAAGGAACTGACGAGTTTCTAAACCTTAACATTTTACAAATACTTGCAGATTATTTATAAATGATGATGACATTCCCCATGTACAGTGAAAGTATGAACCTCCTCAGGACTTAAAGACATTGTGTTTGTGTGGAGTCAAGTCACCATCAGTCCATTTGGCATATTAATCTGTGTCAAATTAAGCTTTCTTTATACAAAGGCGATATTATAGTCCATTTATTTGCATATTCTTAGGAGTTAAGCTTTCTGATAGGACAAATCTGGACAGAACCTCAGCAGTACCATCTCTTCTTCTGTAAACTCCTCAAGGCATCTTTGATTTCCTTGTTCCTCAGACTGTAAATCAAAGGATTCAACATGGGGATAACCACGGTGTAGAATACTGATGCAAATCTGTCAAAACTGGAGGAACCGCCAGAGCTGGAACTCAAATAGACAAAGACACTCGAGATATAAAAGAGGGAAACTGCTGTTAGATGAGAAGCACAGGTGTTGAAAGCCTTGGACCTGCCTTTAGCTGAAGTGATCTTCATGACGGAGATGACAATATAACAGTAGGATACCATGATAATGAGAGCATTAACTACCCCAAAGATCATTGTTACTATAGCAAGCAATAGCTGTACAAAGAAAGTGTCAGTGCAGGACAGGACTAACAACTGGGGCATGTCACAGAAGAAGTGGTTGATGACATTAGGCCCACAGAAGTGAAGCTGAAGTATGGCACACAATTGGGATACAGAA